TGACTTTCAAGTTTCGACTCCACCTCTTCTCTTTAATCTTTAACATTATTTCAGACTTAGATCTTAATCTTATCGAGTCACCGTCGCATCCACTGAGCCTTTTCTTTTTTTCTCCTATGAGTCCGGCAAGTGTTCTTTTTGCACCAACTTTTCTCTCTAAATACTTCAAGGTAAGTTGTTTACTTATTTATACTTTTTAGTTTTCTTTCCATTCCAAGTAAAAATTTTATTTGATTTTCTCTTTTACTTACTTAGATGCATTCAATTGATTATTTTTTGAAAGCAATGACCAAAACAAATATGTTACAATGGGGTTTGTGTTTTTTGGTTGTCATGCTAGTACTGCTTTTTTTTCTTCTTTTTTTTTTCGCTATTAAGATTTATAAGTGTTGTGTTTTTGAATTTGATTAGCATTGTTCTTTGAAAGAAAATAAAGAAGGTGATTCTGAGAAACTATAAATATATATATATATATATTAAATTAATAAAAAAAATTATTTTTATATTGAATCTCTTTTTTAAATCTTTTGAATAATTTTCTTTGAATGATAATATGTACAAATTATAGAAAAAAAAAGGAAAAAAAATTTAATTGGGTCAACCCGCGAGTTGACCCGTGACCCGTGATCGGCGGGTTAGGGTCAACCTTCATTGACCCGTGACCCGTTTTAATCCAACCCATTTTGACCCGTTACCCGTTCTGACCCGACATTAACTCGACCCAACCCTCCCGTTTGCCAGGTCTACTTCTTTTACCTTTATATTTCCTGCGGCGTTACATCCACTAAACTCATAAACTGATTCCCCGACCTTACATCAACTTTTATTCCCCCAGCGTTCTCTCTACCTCTTTTACCTTTATATTTCCCCCATATATACATCATGTTTTTCGTCTCACCTCGACCTTAGCTCTCTCTCCTTGCTTCAGATTCCATGATTTCCCGTTCCTCTTAGCCTGGTCCTCACTAAACTCTCTCCTCACACCTACAGATTTTTTTCTTCTTTTTTCTTTTTTTGGTAGGTTTTGTTCTTTCTCTCTTTAGGACTAATTACCTGCGCATTTCCACATTTTGTTTCGCTTCAGATCAAATCAATCGAGGTCAGTAATTGCATCTTCTCTTCGTGTTCCTCTTTTACATTTCCTGTTCTATTTTAAGTATTGTATGATTCTTGCATTTGCAAGCCCAAAATTGCACCTAAAAGAAGTCTAAGATTTCTACTGTTAGGTGCCGGCCGGTACACTAATTTTCGCCCGGTAAGCCATTTCTGGGCCAGTATGACCAAAAAGTTTAGCGATACAAAACCAGTGTTTTAGTGTACCGGTTTAATAGAAAACCCATACGTACCAGCCAGCATTAGATGGTAATCTATGAGATCCCTAGAGAGGTTTTTTTTTTTTAGATTAGTGTTTTTTGTGGGTTCTTAAAAATATTAGGAAAAAATATTTTAAAATTATATTATTTTATTAAAATAGATACTTTTGTTTCAAAGTAATTTTTAATTTTTAATCTGTCTTAAATTAATAATTATTATTTTATTTTTTAAAGTAAATAAATATTTTTTATTTTAATCTTATAAGTATTTATTTACTTGAATTTATATTTAATCATGACAAAAAAAATTTTTCTATTTTTATTTTTTTTAAGGATATTATTGGTTAATATAAATATTTGACTCAAATCCTTAATTTAAAGAAAAACTCAAAAAGTGCTAATTATTTT